GGAAACAATTCAGGGCCAATCCGATAGTTAATCCAGGAGTGAACTGAAATAAACTAAAACGAATCTGAAATTTGGATCCTTATAAGTGATTTAACAGCTTTAAAATATTACGTTCTGTCCTCGTTATAATGAACTCCATCTATTGTGACAAATATCCGTTTTAGCATATGAGTGCTGTCAAAAGAAAACCTACAACTCTAAAAATAGATTATTATGAAAAATCATAGTAATCTATTTTTAGAGTTGTAGGTTTTCTTTTGACAACACTCATAAATAGTATAATAATTTTAAAATATTCAAGAAATCCGCTTTAACAGGGTCTGTTATATTTATAACAAAGTGTACTAAAATAATTTTTATAATATTTCGGTATTTTTGTTATACGTATTATCGCTATAATTATATAATAAAAAAATACCCGCAAAATATATAAGTTTTTGAAATGTGTAACCCGGGTAATTATAAGCCCGATCGATTATTTTGTGATATTTAAAGTAAAAAGTTGCTGCAAATCAATGAAAAGTATAGTCGTACATGATTTTATAATGACATTCAGCTAACACAGCATCAATAGGTTAGCCCTCTAATTTATAAATATTTCTTACTCCTGATAGTGTATATGACAATTTCCGTTAGTATTATAAATATAACAACTCTTAAATAATACTTATATTCGAATCAAAATGGGAGCAAATCAATCTACCATTAAATCCTATGACTTATCAAATAAAGTTGTTATAATTACTGGTTCTACAGATGGTTGGTCTTTCTTTCTACAATTATTATAATAATATTATTTCCCGACAGTATAATAATATTATTTCCCGACAGTTATAATCATACTAGTTCTTTACAATTACTATTATTATTACTTTTATCATTAACACAGGAATTGGTAAAAGTTTGGCTCGCATAATCTCTTCATATAATCCAAAACGTCTAATCCTACCAATTCGCAACCATGAAAAAGGCAAAAAACTCATAGAATATATCCGAAATTCTCAAGATGGAAAGGTTGAATGTATTGAATTATGGGATATAGATTTTGCAAATTTACGTAGCGTAAAGACTTTCGCTAATAAATTTATCAAGGAAGTTGGTGAATTGCACTATTTATGGAATAATGCTGGTGTGTATTCTTGATCTTTGTAAATAAGGCTACATTCTATTATTTCTTTAAAATTTTTGTGTCAACTGCAAAATAGGTATTTTTAATTTTAGCTTCGAGAAGACAAAAGATAATTTCGAACAACAATTCCAGGTAAGTTTTGATATAATTCGTTTCTTCATTAGTTAAATTTTTCACTAACATTAATTCATATCTTTTCTTAACACAAGGTTAATTTCCTTTCACAATTTCTCCTGACTAATCTTCTAATCCTGACTATGAAGAAGTCGGCAACACCTGAATCTCCGTGCAAAATAACTTTTACAGGTTCTGATTTTGCAAATTCTGGTGAAATCGACTTGGATAACTTGAATGGTGAAAAATCTCATGGAGTTTTAAAACTACATTATAGCACAAAACTAATGGTCAGTAATGAATTTAAACTTTATAAATGTGTGATATGTGATTTCTAATTAATATTGAATTTTTAGGACCATGTATATAGTAAAGAACTTAATCGTCGTTTACAAGGATCAAGTAAGTCTTTCTAAGTTATTATTATTTATTTTTACATACTAGCTTTAATCTTTCTAATCGTTACTAATGTGATTTTAGATGTTATATCTTTGGTATGCCTCCCAGGATTCGTAAGCACAAATGTGGGTAATGTCCATTGGCTACTAGAACCGCTAAGACGCGTTATCATGACGTTCGCTTCATCGCCAGACACTGGAGCGATAAATATAATGTATCCCGTCTTAGACGCAAGTATTGAAGATGGTGGTAAATGTTTTGGAAATTGTGAAGAAGTGGACTTTGGTCAAGCATTGGATGAAGAATTGATACAGAAGTTTTGGAATAAATGTGAAGAGTTATTAAGAAATTTTGATCCAATTCTTCTGCAATAATATTTTACTACCGAATTTATTCTAGTCCTGATTAAGAATTTTGAATTACCTAATCAAAACTGTAGTGTAAAAATTATCTTCAATTTGAAATTTTTGTTAAGCATCGCAGCGGATTGGTGGAATTTGACCTTTTTAAATACCATAAATTTATAAACGTAAGTCCTTATTTAATATTTCAATTTATACTGTATAAAGATAATTAAATTTGGTAACTTAAATAAAGGTCAAATTCCGCAAATCCTCCGCGATGGTCACTAGTATATGCAACTTATTCTGAAATTATTATCTAAATATAGCTGGTCAAAAAAATTAAAATTTATTAGTAATTATATATCATATTAATTGACGCTATGAATTGATAAATGATGTAAATTTGTCCAATCAAGCAACCTATTATATAATATTAATATGACTAAGATGATTATACTGTTCATGCGAATTTGATCATGCCACTACAAAATACTATATCATATATTAATAACTTGATTTTTTTAGTTTTCAAGTTTTCACGGCTGTTTATGTTTCAAAAATGCAATAATTATACTCTGCGGTTTTGATATACTAATAATCTTTGGGATTGTCAGGATTTTGTTTTTTGGAATTTAATGCATTGGGATTTAGTACGTACGTACAAATCACCAAAAATCAGTTCCTCCAGAACAATTAAAATTAAATAGCAGCGCTCTGATATGAATGATATACAATAATTTTATAAGTTAAAGCTCGATATAACGAAGTCCACGGGCTGGTCAAATACATTCAATATGCAAAATATTTGGATATCAGAATAATGAGAAGCTTGTCAACGAAGTGACAGGGCGATCATTATTGCGAAATCAGATGACTTTATGTGATCAGATGACTTTATGAATCACATGTTCAATTTGTCGTTTAGGCCGTTTGAAGTTGATTCTTCGGTTAACATCACTTTTCCAGGACTCTCGAGAGGGGGGTAAAATGAAACGAACATATGAAACGAACATATAAAAATGAACAAAGGTGGGCAATTTCATTGGTTGATGTAAATCAGGTGACTGGCGAGAGTCATACAGCGTTTTGATTGGCTGTTCATTTTTCGGGGGAGATTTCAGCTGGGGGGTGATGTTAACCGAAAAATTCAAACGGCCTTAGCTTCTTATGGATATTTGTGTACAGTCTTACGGTGCCTTGTTGATTCAAGTATTTTCTGGTTAATATGGTTGTTGAAATGTGAATTACATGAGAAAAAATGTAAATTACATGAGAAAAATGTGAATTACACGAGAACGGGTAAGGGAAGCAAGGGGTAATCATATGGTTTTGAATATGTAACCAGTAATGTATTTAAGGAGCCTTTGGTTAGTAAAGAAGGTTATCTTTCTTTTCACTATCGCTTGCTTGCCTTGGAGTGAAGGCTGGCTCTATTGTCCCACCCCTCCCGCCCATTTCTCGGTAACTTTTTGAAACCAGTGCACTTGTTTAGCAAGATATTGGTTAGGCCAGACCAAGTTGATTATGTGTTTTACATTACCCCCTCTCCCCTCCAGGAGGGGGGGAGGGGCGGTTCATATAGTAAAATTTAAAAAATTTTTTTTTTCAAAAAACAATTTTTCCGAATTGTTCCGCGACTATAAAAATTTTCCGAAATACCCCGTAGCCCTCCGTTATTTGTTTAGCATGAAAGAAAATTCGATAGATACAGTGAAGATATTACAACAAGGATTTATGAAGCTCTTATTAATATGGATAATACCAAATCTTTTTCAGTAAAAAAAAAAAAGGACTGAGTGCGTTGAGAAAACTTTCGATCAAAAAAATGAACTTAGAAAAATTTGAAAATGCAAAAGCATTGATAAAGACATGAAATGGACATAACTCAGACACCATCTAATGCAATAGACTCGTTTTAATACCTAAAAGTTTATATATTTTTGTGAGCTCTCATTAATTCTTATAATGAAATTAATATTTAACATCTTAAGAAATCCATAGATTAATGCCGAAAATTTCAAGAAATGCAGATAATTATTAAATGAAATTGTACAAGATTAGTAATAAAAAGGAAAATGCAATAATTTAATTCAGTTCATAATAGATTCGAAATTGTATGTCAATTCAAAAAATTAAATCAGTTTAAGAAAGCATCTTTTTGGCATTGTCATTATAAAAAATATGTGTAAAAATTAAAATAAAAAATATGTACATACAGTCAAAACTTGAGATAGCGAATTTCTACTTATTGAATATTTTGATGTAGCAAAAAATTTTTTTATATAACGAATATGTGTTCAAACATTATTATTGCTCGATCAGATTTTTTACGAGGAAGAACATATGGGAATTCCGTTCGCTATCATATACAGGTTTTACAGGCTCTATACCAAATGCTTAAATGATTATATCTATAAGAGAATATCTCATCCCAAACAAATCATACAACCTATCGCCCATCTAAGACCACATATAACATATCATACCAGGAATGTAACAAGAAGGAATTTTCTAGCTATAAAGAGAATCGGTGGTGTAGGTATTTGATGGCATGAATGTTACTAAGGCATGAAAAAATTCTTGTGGCGCAGATCTCTAACTACAAATCAGATTTCATGAATTAGGTGTAACGTAACACGATCAGGAAATTTCAAAACAAACGTTCGTTTTGTCAAAATCGCTTATTTCTCAAAATCTGCATAAAAAAAACTACCTTTAGTGCTCTAACAAAAAGTTTTCCTTGAGCGATTTTACTATATAATTTTTTAATCTCTAACTTTATTCTAAACACTAACATTTTTGACTTTAAAAATTTTGACTGCGTCCAATGATCGACAAATCCTGGCACAGAATTTTTTCATGCGTTACTAAGACATAGGTTCTTGCACTGCCTACAGCAGCCGTGGAGTCTAGTCACCGAAATATGAAGTTATTATGCTGCCTACAGTAGCCGCGAAGCCTAAACACCAAACAGAAAGTCCTTGCACTGCCTACAGCAGCCGCGGATCTTAAATATCAAACATAAGGTCCTTTACTTCCTACAGCAGCAGCGGAGCCTAAATACCAAAAGCGAGATTCTTGTGCTGCCTACAGCAGGAGCCTAATTGTCAAATATAAAGTCCTTATTCCGCTAACGGTAGCTGCAGAACCTAACAGCACTAAGGCCAGACCAAGTTGATTATGTGTTTTATATTACCCCCCTCCTCAGAGCTCCCCCCTCCCTCATAGTAAAAAAAATTTAGATAAATATACATAGGGCTACGGGGTATTTCGG